GAGGCCGCGCGAGAGACGGGCCGTACAGATGAGGCCGCGCGAGAGACGGGCCGTAAAGAGGAGGCCGCGCGAGAGACGGACCGTACAGATGAGGCTGCGCGACAGTCGGGCCGTAGAGAGGGCGCCGCACGACAGTCGGGCCGTACAGATGAGGCCGCGCGAGAGACGGGCCCTAGAGAAGAGGCCGCGCGACAGTCGGGCTGTACAGATGAGGCCGCGCGAGAGACGGGCCATACAGAACAGGCCGCGCGAGAGACGGGCCGTACAGATGAGGCCGCGCGAGAGATGGGCCGTACAGATGAGGTCGTGTGAGAGACGGCTCGTGAGGGGCAGGGCGTATAGGGGAGGGCATATGGGAAGGGAGTATGAGGGGAACGCATAAGGGATGGGGCCTCTGGGGGAGGGCATGAGGGGCAGGACATATGGGTGGCCACATGAGGCATGAGCTGTATGGGGTGGGGGTATGGGGGGTGGCGGGTGTTAGGGTCCAGGCACTACCTGCACTGTATAAGTCTGTCTTCAATTCTCAGGTATCCATCGAACCACTTCGGCACCTTGACGGGGCTGCAGTCCATGATCAGCGCTGTCTTCGCTCTTACTCAGCAACCCCTGTTCATTGTCATGTTGGGACCTCTGCAGGGCGACCCATACTGGGTGAGAACAGAAGTGAAACTGAAAGTCACAGCTGCAGAAATGTTCATGGTCACTGTCATAGTTCTGTGATCTTAGTCATAATCATGGTTACTGCCAATAATTCTGTGACCTTGATAATAGTCATGGTCACTGTCATAGTTCTGTGATCTTGGTCATAATCATGGTCACTGTTATGGTTCTGTGATCTTGGTTATAATCATGGTGATTGTGATGGTTCTGTGATCTTGGTCATAATCATGGTCGCTGTCATGGTTATGTGATCTTGGTCATAATCTTGGTGACGGTTCTGTGATCTTGGTCATAATCATGGTGACTGTGATGGTTCTGTGATCTTGGTCATAATCATGGTGACTGTGATCTTGGTCGTAAACATGGTCACTATCACAGTTCTGTGACCTCGGTTATAGTAGTGCATATGGTCATTATTCTTTTTCATTAGTGGATGGTCCTGAAATGAACTGGCTTTGGACATGTCTGTGAACATGTATCGTTCTCACACGCTGTACCCTAACAGATCAACCTATTAACCAGCAGCATCATCACATTTTCTGTCCTCCTACCCCCAGATCAACGTGGCCATGCTGATCTTCTCGCTGACTGGCTTCTTGCTGCCTGCATATCTGTTCAACCACTGCAGACATCTTGTCCTGGAGAAGCAGCAACGAGAAGCAGTGAACCAATCTGTGGCAGCTGACAAACAGGCCAACGGTCACCTTGTTCAGCAGGCTTAGGACCTGAGGGGCACGTTTAGTGACTTCATCTACAGTAACAAGTCTTTTATTACAAAAACAATGTTTTGATTGTTGTATATGTTGGCAACTGCACCAGTACTAATGCATTAGTCTAAAAAGCCAAACCAAAGGAATCTCAGGGGCTGTTACCCTGGGGCTTTTATATATGTGTTACAAAACATGAGTGCTGGCTGAATGGGGATTAGCATCATTATAAGTGTGCTGTGTGTTGCCTACATGTACCGGTTTTGCTTTACTTATGAGGACCAAGGGACTTCATGAGGCAGCAAATCCTGACATGACACACTTTGTGAGGACTGGAGGCCGGTCCTCACATGACAAAAGTCTTGTATTTTGATTGGTTAGTTATGGTCAAGGTTAAGTTTGGATAGGGATTAAGATTGTCATTGATGGGATTAGGGTTATGCCCATACAAATGAATGGATGGATGGTCCCTACAAAGATATGAATACAAACGTGTGTGTGTGTGTGTACTTGTTTAAAGATGCATGTTTTCTTAGCTTCAGTATTTACTATGTGAAGCATGTACACAAAAATTTATTACAGATAGTCCCTAGGCTACAAACAAGATCCGGTCCCTAAATCTGCCTTTAAGTCAAATTTGTCGGTAAATTGGAAAAATAATGATATAGTATATAATAATTATTATAAATAAAAGTAACTACTCACAGTACTGTACTGTACCTTGAGGCGACAAACCACTGAAGCCTTGCAATGTTTTCATGTGCGTCACAAAGATGTATGTGCATTTGTTATTGCGAACCATTCTATTTAACCCAATTTTGTAATATTTTAGACTTTATAACAGCCCGTTCATAAGTACGAGTTGTCCATGAGTTGGACGTTCTTAACCCAGGGACTGCCGGTACTGCATCACTGACTGTGACGTCTGATAAAGAGCCAAAGTGTGTCAGGGAGCCCTGACAGCCACACACTGATCAAACGGCGGAGCTCTATGCAGCCGCTTTAGCCACCGCAGACTGTCAGCCTGCAAGAGTGCTGCCACCTTTGGATCAACATGGTTTAAATTACATTCCAGCCCATAATAACTGTGGTAAACGAAAGGCTAAATTCAAGTTGAGAATGACATTTGGGAGATCAGTCTATCATTAAATCAACAATGAACATCAGGCTCAGTGCGCCTCTCCTACACTGACTGTTCACTGGGACAAAGGCTGCTAGCAATTTGTGACTGCAATCCCAGAGTTCACTGGGGCAACAGGTGCTGGCAAATTGCGTGCCTTTTGGTATAATGAGCATTTGTACATAAGTGCTTTTGATAGTTTAACACTAATTACAAATTGATATGAGGAAACCTAAAAGTTATGGTAAGGTAAGCAATTCGACTCTTTCAGTGTGGTGCTCATATTCTGGATTAATCAGAGTAATTTCAGGATTTATGGGATGGCTTGCTCACTCGCTCTGCTCTGTCATGGGTTGGCTCACAAGTTCAAACTGATTGACACGCCTGGTTTAATGTGTGTTTTGCTGTGCAAGCCCATGAACACTATCAGAGTGCTGCAAGATACAATAAAATAAATGCAATGCTATAATCTTGGATCTGTGCCAATTATGCAACTTCCCCAATTTATGTCCTCCTCTTCTAGGACAGGAAAGCCTTGGGATGTACACGCACTGATCTGAAGACAGCTTCTGACATGGTTTTAGAAAAGAATCCATGCTACAGTATGAGATTCAGCACCTGACAGAATGTAAAGCAGTAACAGCACAGGTCTATTTACAACAAAGAGGACACAACACATTAAAATAGAAAAGAGCACAGCCGTTTAATTAACAAAATTTATTAAAGTAAAGCTGTGTGTGGACTCGCGGTCTCTGCCGCACCCAGTCCGAAAATGACTTGAACTTCAAGTCCTTCCTGCTTCGGTGCATCTGCACAGTTATTCAGTGTCTCCAACAGTTCCTTCTGCTTCACAGAGTTAAAACAAAAAGAAAAGGGAATTGCCTGGGCAAAAGACAGATGCAGACGTGTGTGTGAAGACGGACATCCACTCTGCAGCCAGGCCTCAGTTTGGAAGGGCAAGGCTGAAGGGCCAGGGGCTCCCAAAGGCCTCCACCTTGCCACCGGTCCCAGGGATGGAGAGCTGGTCTGATGCACCACCCCCCACCCCCCTTCAATTCTACCTCAAGCTGCTGCTGCTGCTGGGCTGGGAGCTGGCCAGGCCGGGGTGGTCTGGGCTGTGCCGGTTCTGGGAGGAGCAGAGGAGTTAAACTGGCTTAATCAAACACACACACACACACACACACACACACACACACATATATACAGGGTACTCATCTCGCATGTGTCACAAACCCCATAAGCACATACACATGCAGAACTGAATAGGCACAAAGGATCACCATCAACAGGTAAAAAGTGTACTTTATGGTTATCAATTAAATACCAACGTCACGCCCCTGCTGCCCACCTTCTTTTTCTTTTTATCCTTCTTCTTCTTTTTGCGATCGGGATCATCGTCTCGCTTCTTCTTCTTCTTCTTATGGTCCGAGTCCGACGGGGTTTCTGTCCGAAATCAGGGTGCCAAGGTTAGGCTGGCTGAAAGCTCACTGTGCACGTAGGTAACACACAGCACACTTACAATGATGCTAATCCCCATCTCGTGAGACATGCTGGCATGCAACACAGCAGCGCTCACTCCGTACCTGGGGGCAGCGGGTCCTGGGGCCGGTGGTGCCGGTGCTTGTGCTTGCTCTTCTTCTTGGGGGGCTGGATGTGCATCAGTCTGTACTGCTCTGGCAACTGTGGACACAGAGGAACACCGTCACACAGGCCATGTTCCCCCGCACCCGAGTGTCACGCGTGCAGAGCCGTGAGAGGGGTAGGACAGGACGGGGACACAGTACCGGCCCAGTGTGCAGCCGAAAGCCTGTCAGCATGGCCCCCGTCAGGGGGTTGAAAGAGTTTCCACAGACAGGGGGCTTCTCTATCAGTGAGCGGAGAGAGCTGCCGTCCTGGGAGCCTAGGGTATCAATCATGCCTGAGGGGAGCAGAGGTCACATAATCCGGAGGTTAGTAATCCTTCCTCTGGCGTTCAGTTAACCTCCGAGCACCCTGTACATCTCAGCAGGAAGCATCACCTGGCAGCTCAGGCAGGAAGTTGCTCAGCTTCTCCTTGACCTTCTTGCCGCAGAACTTGTTGTAGGCGTGTTCTAGGCTGTAGTGTGTGATCAGGTTGGTGTTGCCCGTCAGCTCGTTGCCCACTGGAGCAGAACACAGGGTATCCCTTTACGACTATTCACCCTTACGCGGCTACCTTAGGGCAGCCCAGTTCAACACACAGACATTCCGATTAGTTTTGCCGAATTGTACTGAGATATATATATATACACACACACACATCAATAGTTTATATATATAAACTGAGGCTTAAAGTTTACTGAATGGACATACACATAGCTCACGGACCGAGAACGATGGATGAAAAGCAGAGCATGCGCATCGCCAGAGTAATTAGCGTCTTAGCCCGATTAATGTGGACCACAGCTATAAATGGCCGTGTAACCCTCACCTTGCGATATTTAAAATCACACCTTGCATTTTTTTAGACATACACACGCGCTATTCTTGAATTACCGGGTAGTTCTCTGAGTAAATAGAACGGCTCGTTCATCGCCCCGAGTTTCCGTAGAGTAGGCCCGTCATCCCCGAGCTGGTGTGGAAGCTGTACGGCCATGGAGACCTGGCTTTGAGGTGGTGGCGGAGGAGGCTTCCCCGGAGCGAAGCCCAGCGTCGATGAGCCAGTGGGAACCTGCGCGTCATTTTGGGCGTACAGAGACGAAAATATTTCCGTCATATCTGTCTGAATTAACTGCGTATATAAATAATAAATTAGAACACTTTTACGACTAACAAACAACGTCAAGCTTCTGTTTTTGTTGCCCGTAGCGTTACGGCTTACGTACCATCAGTTCTCTTTGGATACCGTAATAAACCTATTTAACAGGGTTAGAAAGCGTTCTGAAAGCAATCTCTTTATTTGAAGAACCGAAGCAACTATTTCTATCAACAGATCTATTCGCAAATGCGGTTAAACTCATTTTGCGATTACGAGCGATCGCACAAAAAGCGACTTTATTGAGACAGTGATAACATATTCTAAAACTGTTTTCCCCATTTAGACCAACTCTATAACGTCAATTACGGTAAATAAACCCCTGTTACCTTCACAACTTACTTGACTCTTCCCACAAAACCAATCATGGCTCACAATATGACCAGAACCCTCCCCTCGACCAATCATATTTTAGGTAGGAGGTTCGTCCCTGCTGCCCTATTACTTTCCGACTTAAAAATGACTTGGGATCAGTGTATCTGCTTCCAGTCCCAGTCATAATCATTGTAAAAATTACGGGTACACTGATACAAAGATAGTGGCCTCCGTACTCAAAGAAATCCCTTTAAAAAGAGTACGGGCATTTCCTCGCATAGAAGAACGGGACGCAGCGCAGGCTTCAGCATTGCAGCCTGTTGTATCTGCATAGCCGAGGCGGTTTTATAGAAGATGGCGCTGCTGACCCCCCTGTTCGCATTTCTCTACCACCTGCCGCAGGTGTATAAGTGGCTGCTGAAGCCCTATTATGTGGCTTCGATCTTCCTAGCGGTCGCCTTCCTTCTGGTCCGCAAGAGCCCCGGCATTTGCGAGCATCTCCCCACACAGCGGGAGGACGGCAACTCCTGCGACTTCGACTGGGTGTGTATCGCGCGTGGAAAGGGCTAGAAGACGGCGAGATGATGCAGGGTCATGGGCTAAGTGTGGATGGCGTCTTAATGGGTTTGCCACTTCTGTCGCCAGTAAGACAAAAGCGCTTGCGAAATTAATGCAATGTAAATGCACTGTGAGGTATGAGGCTGCGTATATGGGCCTTGCGATGTCACCCAGCATCTGCGGCTCCTGCTGCTCAGGATAAGCGGTGCCGACATGCATGTGTCACGCTAACCTGTTGCGTGTGCTGCCCCGCAGAGAGAGGTGGAGATCCTGATGTTTCTCAGTGCCATCGTCATGATGAAGAACAGGAGAGCCAGTGAGTGTTTACGGGCCTCTGCTGCTTCTGTGTAACGCCATCCTGCGTACGGAGTAATTATATGCTCGTTGGACACGTTCTCCTTTGCTGGGTTATTAGAGGATTTGCCCGAGCCTGTCACCTTCCACACAAAGCACCAACAGTATTATGTTGACATGGGCCAAACACAGCAGTGCTTGTAGCTGACTGCAGTTCTGTGGTTTTGTTAATTTTGTCTGTTTCTTTACCATCCGTTACATGACATGACAGATTTGAACATTAGAATCCTGAACTCAAAAACCAAATTTTTGTCTTTGAGACTGACTCTGGTTTATTAGTGTACATGGCTCATTTCATACTAGCTAATTAATGGTGGTGGCTTAATGGTTAGGGAAGCACACTTGTAATTGAAAGATTGCTGGTTTGAATCCCCGACCAGCAAGGCACCACTGAGGTACCCCGAGTGAGGTACTGCCCCCTGCTATGTCACAACGTCACATATAAGTTAAATGCAGAGGACACATTTTGTTGTTGTGTGTTGTGGTGTGTCAACAATGACCACTGATCACTAAATTCTAATGTCAGAGGAATAATTTATTTTGTACAACATTATAGTGGTGTTATTCCAGTTTTTTGTCTGTGGCAGCAGTCAGCACCTACAGTGGTGACCACATTGGTGGCTGTGCCTTGCCAAGGCCAGGTTCTGCATGCACACACAGTCGTGCTTATTTACAGTCAGCAGTAACTATCAGCTTGTCTTGTCTGCTAAAGACAATTTCAGCAGTTTGGTCTTGGCCAGCTGTTGTGGCATTTGTTCACAGTTTCAGTTCACTTTGCCCCCCCCCCCCCAACCTCCCCATTTCAGTAACTGTAGAGCAGCACGTGGGGAACATCATCCTCTTCTCCAAGGTGGCCAATGTGATCCTCTTCTTCCGGCTGGACATTCGAATGGGCCTCCTCTACCTCACGCTCTGCATCGGTAAGAAGGACGGGTCGTGAACCTAACCCTACCTCATGCTCTGCATTAGTAGGAAGGGCGGGTCCTGACCCTAACCCTACCCCATACTCTGCATCGGTAAGAAGGATGGGCCTTGCCGTGTGATGTCATTCAGCGGCGGTATCAGTTTTATGGCAGTGGAAAAGCAGCACCTTGAAGTACCATACTTTTGGTACTTATCTGAAATACAGTACGTGGTGCAGCAGGGAGTAAAAGACCAGTGTCCCTGCCCCCCCACCCCCACACCCACACCCACACCCACACCCACACACACTCTAACTACTTTGCTCTCCATCCCAGTGTTCATGATGACCTGCAAACCGCCAATCTACATGGGCCCAGAATACATCAAGTACTTCAGTGATAAGACCATAGACGTGAGTGTCCCAGCGGTACTGATCCACACGGGAGCCTCACTCCCGAGGTTCTGACACGATAGCAGAGCATGCAAAGAGTCTTCCAAAGCAGTGTCTCCTGTGTCTGTCGTAGGAGGAGCTTGACAGGGACACTCGTGTCACATGGATCGTGGAGTTCTTTGCCAACTGGTCTCCTGAATGTCAGTCCTTTGCCTCCGTCTACGCTGACCTCTCTCTCAAGTAAAGCTCATCGCCGCACATGCATGTGAACGCACACGCACGCATGTTCATGGGGTCACGGGAGATCACACGCATGTAACCTTCTGCTTCACAGGTACAACTGCGCTGGCCTGAAGTTCGGGAAGGTGGATGTGGGGAGATACGGAGAGGTCTCTAAGAAGTAGGTCCCCTCTGTCTATCTCCATCTGTTTAGTGTGTTTTTCAGATCACCATTCTGCTGAAGTTGTATATCAACCATCACCACTCTATCATTGCCCTTGTCTGTATGCTATAACCATTCCTCTGGCCCCTCCAGGTACAAGGTGAGCACCTCCCCCCTGTCTAAGCAGCTTCCCTCACTGCTGCTGTTCCAGGGAGGCAAAGAGCTTATGCGGCGTCCCCAAGTGGACAAGAAGGGCCGTGCAGTTTCCTGGAGTTTTACGGAGGTGAGGACTGTGTGCTGATCCAGGGTCTCAGAACATGCAGTTTGAAGGTATCAATCACAGACACTATGATGCAGCTGTGCTTTAAGGGTTTTGAAGGGTAGGTGCCGTCATATCCGGACACGAGGCTCATGCCAATGACTCCTCTGCTTTATCTTCAGGAGAACATCATTCGCGAGTTCAACTTGAATGAGCTGTACCAGGTGTCCAAGAAGCTGTCCAAGGGGAAAGCGGAGAAGGTGGCTGAGCTGAAGTTCCCAGCCGTGCCTGAGGAGGGCGAGCTGGAGGCAGAGCCAAACGGTCAGGATGTGGTGCCAGAGACCAAGAAGGACAAGTAGAACAATGTCAGACACCACATTTCATTATGCATCAGTCCTGTTGCAACAAACTATTAGATGGGATTATGCAAAAAAAAAAAAAAAATAGCAGTGACTCAGATGGAGGGAAGATGGACCTCAGGAGAGATGGTGGGAAGTGGAGATGATGGTCGAGATTATTATGATTATTTTTTTAAATTGTATGTCTTTATATCAGTGCTTTAAATTGCAGATCAATTGACTGCATACGTCTATGTAATGATCTCCAGCATGCTAGCTACTCTTGATTTTACTACTGATATTTAAATGTTTCCCTTTCTCAGCCAACCCAAATCAGTGATTCTTGGGGTTTTTTTTTGGAATCTGTTACTGTAGCCAAAAGTGACACTGAGGTAACAAACCCAAAGCAGAATGGATATGAGGAACTGCTCACACAGAATAACCATCCTGATTCACGCTCAGGTTGTAATAGCAGGTGCTAGTTCCCTGTGAAAATGTAATGCCGGTCGGGGTCTGAGTTTGAGGACCGAGGCACGTCGGGGTCCGGAGGCCCTCTCTGATCCGAGGCACGTCAGGGTCGGGGTTCGGAGATCCCCCTCTGATCCGAGGCACGTCGGGGTCCGGGGGCCCTCTCTGATCCGAGGCACGTCGGGGTCCGGAGGCCCTCTCTGATCCGAGGCACATCAGGGTCGGGGTTCGGAGATCCCCCTCTGATCTGAGGCACGTTGGAGTCCAAGGGCCGGAGGCCCTCTCTGATCCAAGGCACGTCAGGGTCGGGGTTCGGAGATCCCCCTCTGATCCGAGGCACGTCGGGGTCCAAGGGCCGGAGGCCCTCTCTGATCCAAGGCACGTCAGGGTCGGGGTTCGGAGATCCCCCTCTGATCTGAGGCACGTCGGAGTCCAAGGGCCGGAGGCCCTCTCTGATCCAAGGCACCGTTTAGCCCAAATAAGCTGCTTCACTTGAGCACGTCATACTGCTGTGGGTTTACTGCTATCAGGTTCACAGCCCATGAGCGACCATCACTTTGTCCCCCTCTCCCCCAGGCCGTGGCCCCATCTTGCAATCCTATGGAAACACACCATATTTTTGTTGGGCAAGTTGTTTTACCATTAAATTTGCTTAGAGTCTCAATCCAAGGTCATGATGTGTGTAGAGATTTCTCAATTTATTCTGGAGGGGGGATTGGGATCCACGAGCACCTGTCATGTTGGTTGTCTGTGTTAAATGCTGTATCGTTTGTTGATTTGGACTCACCTGGGGAAGGCTTGGTTCTGGCAGAGGAAGGCCATACATTAAGGACAGCAACTGCACATTTACTACAAGCATGACCAAGCTGAGCAGCAGCCCATGTCTGTCAGTTATGCTGCTGTACATCATCAGGGGTGAGGGGGGGGGTGGTGGTCCTGTGCCTCACGTTACTCCCCGTACCGCCATATTGGGTTTTATGATGAAAGGAAAGTCAGAGTAACAGTTTTGGGGCTCGGGGGGTTAGGCTGCTGCTTAGAATCTCACAATAATGATGGATCAGCACCCCCATTTTACATCAGGCAAATTTAAAACAATTTTAAACCAAGGGCTTTCAAAATGTTTTACAAACAGTTTATTATCATTGGTCAGCCATACTGACAGACATACACACAGCCAATCACACTCACATATGCACAATACACACAAGCCCCGCCTTTCCTGTTATTTCTGCATAGGCATTGGCTGGTCACAACTGCTGTCACATTCTAGCCTTCTGACATCACAATGTCACACAGTGCAATTTTAAAAGTTTAAACACTTTCCTCTGACTGGATTGATGAGACATTAAATTTCATAACATTCCAATATAAACCAGATCATCATTTTGAAAGATGTAAATCTTCCTTCTGGGTCCCAGTCCAACAATGATTGGATTGGTTCTCATATACAATGCCACAGTCACATAATTGGCCAGCCTTTGTGTGGAAGGTGACCTAATGACTTAACTGATAAACTGACATTATAAACATCCAGAAATATACAGCAATTCAAAACAAGGTGTCATTCCTCAGTGACTATATCAGAAAACCCTCAAGAAGCAACTGCACGCTAGCATTTTGAAGGGAGAATCAGCCATCCATGCTCTGCCAGGGCCCGTGAAGGTGGCAGGCCATGCAGGGCCTCGGTCTTCGCTTTCGGCGAGAGCCGAGACAGGCAGGAGGTCCAGCTGGCTGCACGAAGACTGTCCCGTCCAGATAGCCACCCTTCAGCCTCTCGCTTTTATTAAACCCACGATATAAATTGATAAAAATGTAAAAATAAATAATTCAAATAAAAACGAACGCCGGCGCCCGACAGCTGCATGGGCAAGCGGGAGCCGCCTGTCAGTCGGCAAACGCGGCCCCGCGGACAGGAGGGAGCGAGCGCCTGGTCGGGCCGGGCTGCGGCGGCTAGCGGTCAAAATCCAAATGGGTAGAAACAATGTGCATCACTCTGTGGGCTTCACCTTCCATTCCTGGGTGTTTCGATACGGTTCCTGCTGTCACAGCAAGAGCGAGCCAGCAGGGGCCACACTGTGACGAGTGACACGGCACCCCAGGCTTCAGTCACGGCTGCAGAACACGTCCATGCGCCTGCCCGCACCCAGTTGAGTGGCGTACTGGCCCACAGCAGACCGCCATCCCTCGCTAAATCGGCCCCCCGTCAAACCGAGATCTCATAGGTGGTCCCACCGACGCCTGTGACTTTCTTCACGCCAACTCCCTGCTTGTGGGTGGGGCTGTGCAGAGAGGATGTGCTGTGATTGGCTGGGCCTGGCCGAGTGGTAAGAGGGGCCGGGGTCCCCATGTGCGAGGGAGAGGATGGGGAGGATGCCGAATGATGCGGTGAGGGCGGAGGGCCCGTTTTTGGCTGCCCGTTTGAGCGGCTGTAGGACTTCATCTGAATCTCATCCCTGAAAGGGAAGGGAGAGAACGTGGGGTTACAGAGAGAGAGGGCTAGCGATGCCACCCAGGGCACCAGCTACGAATGAGGGAAGGAAACTGCGAGCCAGCAGCTAAGAGCCAGGAACAGGAGAACATTGCCGACTGCACGGCAAGCCCACGAACCCTACGCTGGGCCTGGCTCTACATGCTGCTCATTATCTTGCATTAGTCCATCTGTCCATTTGACCATCCGCCTCCACCAGTCCCACACCGTGTGGGCTTATCTAGCGTTTCCCGGCATTCTAGTGCACTTTATTCATTCTCTATGTGCTTAACGATCAGTTTGGCCACCATGCATCGTCATGGAAACTCCCAGTCACATGACGCTAAGTAAGTTCCACCTTACACGCACAGAAAGGGAGGCGATGCCGACAGGAGGGGGCAGTAGAAAGCTGCAGGGCCGTACTCACTTTGGGGCCTGGATGGCTGCCCCCGCCGAGGCCTTCCTCACCAGCCGGCTCTGCATCTCCGCTGCCGCCGCGCTCGAGTACGACAGAGACTTGCCCAGCGGGGGCCGGTGCGGAAGGGGGCCTGGAGACACGGTCCCCTGAGGGGAATCCGGCGAGCCCAGAGAGCGCGCCCAGGCTACTGGGTGCGAGTCTGCCAGCACAGGCGCCCGTGAGAAGCGCAGGGGCCGAGCGTGGTGCTGGGGGTGCCGCTGGGGGTCCCTGTCCACCGGGGTGGGGGGTGGGCTCACACCGTGCAAGTAGGCCTTGCGGGGGGAGGACAGCAGGGCGACCGAGGCCTGGTGCAGCCCGGGGTCGCGCTGCTGGGCCAGCTGCGCGGACAAGAAGGGTGAGCTGTAGCCCAGTACAGGAGGGTGGTGGGCGTGCGGGAGGGGGCGGGCGTGCGGGGGGACACGGGGCCGGCCCGGGGACAGCGCGGGGCCTGCCGCTTCAAAGTCGGGGCTCCCCGATGGCGTCAGCAGGCTGTCATAGGAAAGGCTGCCACTGCGTGGAGTCTGGTTGGCCAAGCTCTGGTAGCTGGTAGAACAGGCGCCCTCTGGTGGTGGCGGGCCGAGGACGCCGTGGCCGGCGTGAGCAGAGCGCACACTGGAGGAGCGCGATCCCGCCACCGACAGCACCGTGGGGTCCGAAAAGGACGGGAAGGAGCGGCCACCCAGGGAGTAGCCAAGGATAGCACCCCCAGAAGCGGTGGGCCCCGGGGCCTCAGCATTGGGCTCCCTGGGACCTGGTTGCCCATGGCAGCCATCCAAGCTGGGCTCAGAGCGGTAGGCGGCCTGCTGGCTGGACTCCAGGAGGGACGACGACTCCTTCAGGCTGTCGCCCCGACTCATCTGCCAGGGGAGTGACAGAAGGGTCAGTCAGCTGGAGGCGGGGGGGCGGGGGGGTGTCGTCAAGTGAAATAAATGAAGCGGAGGCAGCGAGTGAACACAAGCAAGTCAGTCATGGCGATGACAAAGGTGGGCATTAGCCACCAGGGGGCGGACCTGAGCCACAGAAGGGAAGCTCGTCAAGGAATTCTTCAAGGGGCCCGACTGACCCCAGCACACACACACACAGCCACAGTGAGTAGCCTGAGCCACTCAGCAAAGGCGTGCCGATGCAGCAGGGCTGATGCTGCAACAGGGGGAGCTGTGTGGCCTGCTCTCTCTCACACACACACACACACACACACACACACACACACACACACACACACACACACACACACACACACACACACACACAAGCGAAGCGGGTCACAGCACACAGAGCAAACAGAGGCCAACTTACTCATGTGGATGGACTGACAGCAACTGAGCCAATGGGTGAAAAAGAAAATATGATGAGCCATGCAATTAAATCACAACACAGAGGATGCACGGTGAGGAGGGGACGGCGCTCAGCTGGTCTCAGGTGGCAGGGCGCCCACCGCTGGGGGGGGGCTCACCTTGCTGGAGTAGGATTGGCTGAGGGGGGTGTGGCTCTTGCTGGGGCTGTTGTATGCCGCCCGGTACTTGTACATGGTGGGCGTGGGCGGGGTCTTGTTCAGCAGAGAGCTCTCTGGAATCAGGCAGATGCAGCAGAGAGTATTCATTCACCTGCCTGCCGACACCGGCACTCACAAGGGGGG